CTGCTGAATTAATTTACGGCGACATACAAGCCCAGCCGAATTTTATCATATCAGTATCATTTTTGTAGAGCTCTCGTCAACTATTAGGTTAGGATTAAGTTTTTTCTTAAGTTGAAAGTCTTTTTTTTTTCAGTATCAGTTGCTCTTACTTGATAGATGAGGTCATCTATGCATGATAGGAACTCCTCAGCAGTGTGTATAATGTTGTGATGTGTGGATCCAATGTGATCTGCCACCATCTGAGCCGCGACTAAGTCACTACTCTTGGCATCAAGACCTGCAATGAAGAACATTTTGTACACAAATTATGATCACACTAAGTTTCTAGCACTATGAACCTAAAAAATGAAGGTCCTAAGCCCTATAGGATCCCTGATTTAGTCACGATATAGGATTTCATCAAATGGTGGGATTTCTATCGAAGTTGAATCCTTACTGAAGGATTTGGTTTAAAATCTTGAGATATCAGTTGCTTTCCATTTGCAAAATTAGTCATAAAACTAAGAAAAATTGAACCATTTAGTTGATTTTTATATCAATGTCAATGTAATACCAATGGCGAATGTCTCCAGAGGATAGTTACACCCCCACTCTGGCATCTTCTGCTTCACCAGGGCACAAATCAGACTGGAGTCCAGACCCCCGGACAACAGACAGCCCAGTTTGCAATCGGCCATCATTCTCACATCAACCGCATTTGTCAGAGTGTGTCGCACTCTCTCAAGAGAAGTCATTTCAGGTGTGGTTTCTCTAACAGCATAGACTGGCTTGGCCCAGACTTCATGGAAGCGCTCACTTCTAACAAGGTGGACAGATCCAGATTTGGGACAGAGGTCATACTCGGAAAAATGGCCTAAATCAGGGTAAAAATCCAATAAAACTTTGTTTTATCCATCAATCAATTGTTTTTGATTTGAAATTATACTGTGACAAAAAAATTTGAGATGAAATTAGTGCAAATTGGAAAAATATCAACACCGTCGCCATTTTTGATTTCGAATTTAGGCACTGAGAACTTGGTTCATAAAGTGGATAAATTTTCTTTTTGTCTTCTCGTTTTTTATTTCTTTTGCTTGCAGGAGAGTTTAGTAAGTTTTTTTCACTGTTTCAACCATAAAGTTCCTGGAACCAGTTCTAAACTAGTATTTATAATGGATATAAATACTATTATATTATTGATAAAACTATCACTATAAAATATTACTTTCTAACCAATCATATTCCATCTCTAACATTGACACTTATTTGTAAGTGCTGAAACTACTTGTAGTTTCAGCACCAGAACAATTTGAATAAATCTTAGACTACAGTTGTTCTCCTTCTGGATAATCACCAAGAACTAACTCGCGAAACCCAGTATACACTAGATCTATTGAGACTAGGAGATATAAGAGTAAGATATAAGAGATATAAGAGTAGACTAAGAAGTTGCACGAATCTATCCGACCGAAAGTAAGATAGCGTGACGAGCAGACGGTGTACCCTATCTGAAATTACTCTATGAGTGCAGACCGAAAGTCATAACTCATTCCCGACAAACAAATAAAAAAGTCGGAAAATCGACTCACCCGGAAGATGTATCTTGACAGTAGCAGTGCCTTCAGGACAACTCCTATGAGCGGTCATCAGTGACTTGACCTCTGACCCCACAACTGTGAATCCAGGCCACTCTGATCCCTGCAGTTGTTCGAGGGAGAAGAGAGGTCGCACCCCAAAAGTGTCTCTGGCGAAGAACACTTTGTTGTTGATTACATCTGCCAAGATGAAGGCAAACACTCCATGAAGATGTTGCACACAGAACTCAATTCCGCCTGCAGTAGTCAAGATTGTCAAAAATGCTAAATTTGGGTTTTGGTTCCTAAGTTGAATCATGATCAATGTATGTTTCGACCAAGCTCGACCGTCCTCGAATTTGAGCTCGACCCTAACCCTGTCTCGATTATACTTTTTTGGCCGAGCACTTTGAAAGTCGAAACATTAAGTGAGCACCTCTACCCGGGAAGTTGAATGAGTATTTTTTATCTACGACCAAGGTCGTCGGCTCTTTTTATTTGATGCTTGATATACCACATTAGAACGTTGCATTTACAATTTTCGCGGGCGGTATGAGAAAATGGTTTGTCAAACCTAGTTTCAAGTAGTTTTGAGTAACCAAAAATGCACTTCAGCAAGCCCTCCCTCTCATTTTAAGTATATTTGGGCGCCCAAAATCCAACTTCAGAAAAATTTTCGGGTTGAGTTTTGGTTCTGATGCAGTTTCTTTTACCATCAGGAGACAAATAATCAGGAAATATTCTTTTATTAGCCTCAGAACAATCAGAACTCGCCTATTGCGTAGAGGTGCAAAATAACTTCCGTGTCACAATTAGTCTCAAATTCGAACCCAAACTGCTCTTTTAAGTGCAGGTAGTTATAAATCTCGCCATTGAACACTAAGAAAAGGTGTTCATGCTTCTTCAATTTCAGGGGTTGCATTCCGTGTAAGGGATCCACGATTGACAGTCGGACGAAACCTAGAAGGGTCTTCTTGGGTTTTAGTTTTCTTTTTGTTTCTGTTTTCATTTATATTTTCGTCTGTTTTCATTTTATTTTTTTTCAACTCTTGTTTCTGCACAAATATTTTTATCTGAGGACAAATCCATGTTTGCATCTGATCACTTGAAACCGAGAGAGTTTGAATAATACTTATAACTTACCTATTAAATATGATTATCACAAAATATTCGACTGAATAAGGTATAAAAGCAGAAATTGAGTATATTGAAAAATAAAAGTTTAACAGTTAGACTGCATGGTTTCTGTTTATTCTGGGCTAAATAATTAAAAAGACCCTCCTAGCAGGCAGTTTTCAAGTTCACCCACACTGAGCATGCTGAATGCGTCGGGGCCTCGATGTCTGATTTTGAGAACATCCGGGAGGCATTTGGAGAGGAGAGCCTTGCTTGGACACCCGAATACAGCCCAAATACCACACATAATTTTTATCTGAAGATGAAGTTTACAAAAAAATTGTTAGCAGACATATAATAAGTTGAATTTTTTTAGCAAATGTTTTCCGACTCATTATTCCACTTCGTTCTCGAAATCATTTTTCACTATGATAACTTCTAGTGACTCAAGTTTGCAAATTTAACAAACGGAGGCTAACGGATGGTTATCCAAAGTGTTATAATGTAATTGTAAAAACAGCAAAAAATGAGGATTTTGTGCAATCTGAATGGTAAGAGTAGAAAAACAAATGTCGGGCTTGTAAATGAAAGGTTTTATAATTTATCATGTGTTAACACAGAAAAACAATACTTGCCCCCAAAAAGGTTTTCAGGTATGTATTACAATATGCTGCTTCTGAGATGGTTAAAATATTGCATCAAGTGAGATCAAAATTAGAACAGATTGGCGCCAAAGGCGCTTCTACAGAAAGTTTAAGATTGTTCAGCCAAAAATGGGTGTCCTAATTAAAACCAAAGGGGTGGTTAGGGGAGCGAATCCCTGAGAAGAGGGGGCATTCCTCCGCCTCCCCCTAAATCCGCTCCTGGTCTTATAAGTCTGATTAGTATAATTTTTACTGTGCTATTGTATGCCATCAAAAAAGGTATCATCAAATCAAAAGTCATTAGATAATTTATCTGCAAGCTGTTTTTGACACCTTACGGAGGCTGATTTTCCATTTTGGATTAATGCGTGGTATTTTTACATTGCGTAAATAGCAAGGGCGGATTGCTCCAAACCCCCCCCCCCCCCCCCCATTAACGAAAGGGTCGCCTTTTTGGTATTATTTCTTGGCAACCATTTTTGGAGTCCAGCCTTTAAAAAGTTTTAAAGGTGCCTTCGGCGCCCATGCGTGATTGAAGGAGAGCACGTGGCGATAAAATGCGATTCTTTTGTCAAAAACTTTCCAAAAAGTGCCGAAAAAACTTCTTCTGCCTTGCCCAAAATTTTGTCAAAATCAGTTCTTTATAGGGTTCTAGAAGTCTTTCGTTAATCAATTTTGTCGAGTTTTACAAAAACCGACTAAATGTTTGGTTTTTTTTCCAAGAAAAATCCGCCCTTCCAGAAAATCCAGGAAAATCCTAGGTGTGCCTTTAGTTAATAGTCACATAATAGTTACAAACTAAAACAACAGGGTACTAAGACAAGTTTAAAGCTAGTTATTTTGACATGCTTCAAAACAGACTGAAAAATGTGGTTGCATTGAGCTGAAAGTTGAGAAAATATATCAAGTTAATGTTGAGAGGTTTTAAAGCGGGTCAATTTGGTCAATTAAGAATATTAAATTTGCCTTTTTCATTTTGTGTTTGAAATTTTCTAAACATGCAAATTTATGAAAAAAAAAACTTTTAAAATTCTTGTTGAAAATTTTACCATAAATTTGCCAAAAATTTCACCAGAAACGTTCAAATGGCTATCGAAGCATGCATTATTTAGGTATAGGTTTGAATTAGGTATAGTCGGCATAATACGTTTAGATGGCAAGATATGGTTAGTTCTTATTTGTTTCACTTTCGAGGAAGTGGCGGAATATTTGTGCTTGGGGTGAATTTTTTGTTCGACTTTGAACTAGCAATTTTTGACGGAAGTTTTAAAATTTCATTAGTAAGGCTTTGTTGTCTTGCCAAGAATATATGAAAATCTTCTGTGTTCATTTTTGTAAATTAATGGAGGTTTAAAGGTTGCCTATTTTTCCAGCTAGGGAGATGAACGCGCAACATCTTTCGTGCTTTTATAGTGTAAGCGGAGATTTATTCCACGTTAGAAATACTTCTAAATTGACTTGGGGCATGCTGTTTGGTCTATTTAAGACTTTTCGACATGGGATTTGCATCACATTGTACTTTGCATAGTGCGTGGGGGATAATTTTAAAAACAAAAATCTTAACAGAAACTAAAATCTATTTTTTTGAAAAATGCTTCAACACTAGCAACACTAGTTCATAGTAAACACTAGTTCATAGACCTTATATAGCAGTCGGAAAAATCAAAGTAATGCTCTGATACGAGCAGTTTTGTTTATTTTCATTTAAAAAATAAATTTACGATGAAAAGTTGTAAATTTTGAACTCTTACGAATTACACGTTTCTGAATTCCACGCAAGATTTTGAAAAAGAGAACATTTTTGGTTAAAACTTGTAATCAATAATAATTCAATTGAGTTTAATACCACAAACGCTGATTGCTCTGCTGATATCTGCAAGACCTATCAACTAACCAATATATTTGATAATTGATATCAAAATGACGCGCAGATATGAAGTCATTCGAGTGTTTAAACTATGACCTCAAGTAATCCAATCTTGAAGATATGTTTGTCTTAAGAGCTCTACATTTCTGGTTCAAGCTGACGGTCAAAATGCTCCTCATGAATTGTTAAACATGTGACCTTTACCACAATTTTCTATGTGGGAATATGTCGGCTCAGACACCTTGGCAATTCATGCAATTATGGCTGTAATATTTGAAATAAGATTTTAAAAAGAATCAAAGAATAGGTACAGTGAAAAAACTGACCTAATTTCGAAAAAATTGCAATTTTCCTTTTTCAAAGTAGAAAATAGATGACCTCAAAACCCTTTGATTTCTAATAAAAAAGTTTTGATTAACCTTTTTGTTTAAAATATTTCATTTTGAATAAATTAGATCAAAAGTAAAATCTTTATCTCGCGCTGGAAAACTGAAAATTAGAATCCACGTTTAAAACTAAAAGTCAATCCCATATTTCGTAAGCTTTGCCCTTTTGCTGTTCGACAGTAGAACTCGCTTTTTTATCCAAAGAATTGAACTGATTTTAAACTTTTAGAATTCCAACCGCAAATAATGAAAACTAATGGTGAACAATTTTTAGGTTAAAAAAAGGAGAAGTCATCACGACTTAGATCACAGTTTTCACAACTACGTTTACCGCAATTTTTTATTTTTTGATTAGTGTTCGGAGAAAAAACTAATTGAAAACACTATTTTTAGAGCTAATTTTTCATCTACCTCGCTTGAGTATCATTTTCATGGTGCAACGAGTGATTTTACAAGGTTAAGTTTTTGTTCTGGCTGAATCATTATGAGGCCAAACTGCATTCTGTTCATTGTAAGGCCAAAATCAGAATTAAAAGGCCAAAATCAGATTTGTTGCGGAATCCCCAACATTGCAACTTTTCTTTGATCTTCTTTGCTGTTTTGGATTCCAAAAACAATTTCATATAACACTGTACTGCTCAAAATTACTGCGAACAGTATTTGCGAAATCCGGAACACTTCGTGGAGTCCACAAACAAAAGATAAAGCATGTGTAAAAATAAACTTAGTTGTTGCGGAATCCGCATTTGTAAGCAGAATCCGGGAATTATAAGTGGAATCCGCAATTTGTAAGTAGAATCCGCATTTTGTTTGCGGATTCCATTTACATATTTGGATATTTGTATTAGTTTTTTAAATTATATCTTTTATTCAACATTTGATCACCAGCAAATTCAATCTAAGTTACAAGAGGGATCTACTGCCAGTTCAAATTCCAATTGTTCGATTTCAATTCCTGCCCCTAACTTCGATCTCAATTCCCGACAAACACCCGAATTTGATTTCAATTCCTGTTAAACATCGAACTTCAATCTCAATTCCTGTTAAACAACCTAATTTCGATCACAATTCTTGCCTACTGAACAAACTGAAGTAAGCAAAATTTTCAGTTCAATTCAATTTATTTCAATTCAAATACATACGTTTTAATTTAGCATTTTTCAATTATTTTCAATTTGCGAACAAACCAGAACAGACCAGAAAAGTTTGAGACGATAACTTTTTCGTGATTATACTTGAGTTTTTGAAATTAATGCTTTTAACCAACCATCTCATGTCAAATACTGACGAGTTTAACCAGCCATCTCATCTCAAATACTAATCACTTCAACTAAACGTCTAATCTATAAAAACTAATGATTTGAATTCAAGTACTCTGAACCACTCTAGTCCCAAATACTAATGTTATTGGTTGATTGTGTTCCCAAATCGAGAAAAAATTAAGCTTTTGCCCAAACAAATTTGCAAAATTTCTCAGAACAAAAAACTAAATGGTCCAATAAACGTTTCCATTGGCAAGCCCACATACCCTTCAAACTTGACTCAAGAGCCCGTCTATCACAAATCTGTAATAAATATTCAAGAAAACAAAAACTTGAAAAGTAGGTTTTGAGTGTTACGAGCAACATATCAAAGCACAGACAGGCAAGCTCACGGGTAAAGTTTATGCTGACTGAGAGAACATAAAAAAAACTATTTTGGACAATGAATCTAAAATTTTCGACTAAAGCACATTATATGTCTAAGCGACCCATGCAAAAAAAGAAGTTTTCATTGGTAAGAAAATACATTTTCAGGACTCTGAACATCGAATAAAAAAGCACATAAAATTTGAGGACACTCTGAAAAACAACCAGGTATCAAAAAAATAAAATTTTCAACCACAAAATTTTAAAATCTGATCTACTTTTTAGTTGTTGTGTCATGATTGTAAGTAACAGTTGATCATCAAAATTCAAGTTGAACTAAAAAAATTCTGAAAAAAAACTCAATTTCCCGACAGTTCAGATGATGAACTTTTCAAGTTTTTAAAAAACCGATCTCAATTTTTTTTTATAAAACGCAGACAAAACACCTTTAGCAATCATTGATATTCATAAAAGTAGCTTTGTAACAATGCTATGCTGAAGCAACCCCACAGAGACCAGCAAAAACACCCTAAAAACTTTGTTTATGACCAAACAAACACAATTTTTTGATCAACTAGCTCCAGATCGTCCCCATATCAACTTTCTGGCAGACCTTGAGCAAGATCGAACAGATACTTAAAACGGGAATAATTTTCAAAGTTAGACAACTTGTGGAAATATACGCTACTCTCTCTCTCTCAAAAATAATTTTAATAATAAAAATGACGTTTCGACAAGAAAAACGTTTTTTTTTTTTAAATCCATAATCCTACGAGTGTGCTCTTAAAATCAACCTGGCCGAAAAAGGTTCCCTCAATCAAAGTTG